ATTCAAAATTAACAGGTAGAAGTTGTCATTTTTAGGGGTAAAAATGCAGAATTAAGAAGACGAAGACGAAATTTGAAAATTTCATAAAAATTACAATTAAGTTTTTGTGTGCACGTGTTGTCTGCATATACACGTGTGCACACTACACATGTGCACACACGTGTGCACAAATTAATTCAAAATTAACAGGTAGAAGTTGTCATTTTTAGGGGTAAAAATGCAGAATTAAGAAGACGAAGACGAAATTTGAAAATTTCATAAAAATTACAATTAAGTTTATGTGCGCACGTGTGCAATACACATGTGAGAACATGTATTAAATTTTCCCAATACTTGATATTTTTTAATTGTTTAAAATTTATACGTTCCCTCAGTTATACAAAATATTTTTAATCGGCAGATGTTTAATTCGTTGAATATTGTTACTTGTATCATTTCTAGTAAACAATTTAGATGACCTTGAGAAAATTCTTTAATTTCTTAAAATGTTGGGCTTAAAATGTTGGGAACATTTTGGTTAATAACATGGGAACCAAAAAAGATAAACAGATGCGGTTTTTTGCATCTGATAGGGCAAAGAATTCTCTAGAAAATGACCGGTCAGTTTTTTAGATTAAGCCCTAGAAAAATTTTTATGACATTTTACAAAAGTAACATATTTTTCCCAAAATCTCAATTTTTCCAGTGAAGAAAAGAAAGGGAAAAGGAAGTTAAACCCAAAAGATCAACATTCCTGAGATCACCCAACTGATTACGTAACTCTGAAATAAAAATTTCTACTTACCCTTTCCCCAGACCAATTAGTCACTAATTGGTTCCCCTCACCCCTTCTAGTCAGACTCGGCGGCATTTCCCTTTGATCATCAATCAAAGGAGTGGCGGCTTTCTTTGATACGGTGGACCCTTCATCGCCCCCTCCCCCACACCAATTAGTAAACAAATTGGTTTCCCTTACACCCAACCCCGCAACCCCGACCAATTTGTCAAGCAATTAGCAGCTTAGATCCCTTGACCCCCTCCCCAGACCAATTTGCAAAACAAATTGGTTTCACTTACACCCAAGATAGAGTAAAGAATTCTCTAGAAAATGACCGGTCAGTTTTTTAAGTTAGGTCCTAGAAAAATTTTTATGACCGTTTTACAAATGTACCTTATTTTTCCAAAAATCTCAAATTTTCCAGTGAAGAAAAGAAAGGGAAAAGGAAGTTAAACCCAAAAGATCAACACCCCTGAGAACACCCAACCAATTACGTAACTCTGAAATAAAAATTTCTACTTACCCTTTCCCCAACCAATTAGTCAATTGGTTCCCCTCGCCCCTTCTCGTCAGACTCGGCGGCATTTCCTTTGATCATCAATCAAAGGAGTGGCGGCATCCTTTGATACGGTAGACACTTCCCGCCCCCTCCCCCAAACCAATTAGTAAAACAAATTGGTTTCCCCTTGCCACCTCCCCGACCAATTTGTCAAGCAATTAGCAACTTAGATTCCCTTGACCCCCTCCCCAGACCAATTTGTAAAACAAATTGGTTTCACCTTATCACATCCTCCAAATCAATTAGTCAACTAATTGATTTCCACTTACACCCAGCACTAATTAGTTCACCTTACACCCAACCCCCAAACCATTTAGTCAATCAATTAACACCTCTTGGTAATAAAATTTTTATTACCCCCCTCCCCCAGACCAATTAATCAATCAATCAACTAATTGATTTCCTCTTACACCCAACCCCCAAAACCATTTGTAAAACAAATTGGTTTCACCCTTACACCCAACCCCTAAACCAATTAGTACTAATTAATTCCCCTTACCCCTCCCCCATCGCGCGCCAAACCCATCAATAGGTTCGCGTTAATAGGGGTGGACCCCTCCTCTTAAAATGATTTATGAGGTACAAATTGGTTCGGACCCCTCCCCCGATTAATAATTTATTACCCCGGCGGTAAGATCAAAGAGAATCATCAAAAAGATCAAAAGAAAAAGCCGACAAAACCCCCTCATACCCTTTGGTTTTTGTCGGACCCCTCCCCCAGACCCCTCCCCCCGACACCCTCCTATAGGTTGGCGGCATTTCCCTTTGATACGGTTAGGGGGGGGGTTACTACTCATGTCCACCGAGGATTTAGCTTCATAATTTTGTTCACGATTGCCTAATCTAATTTATCATGGTATCATTCTACTCATTCGAACAGCTTTTTCAAATAATATATTTATAATAATTTACATATCAATCAAAAATGGTCAGGTAATGGGAAAAAGGTGGGCGTCCGCCGAAGTATTAGCGATCAAGCCTCCCTGCTGATTTCGAATTATTATGACAACTTATCATATTAAATTAGCTTAAGAATTAACTGAATTATTAATGATTTATTAAATTTTGATTTATATAAATTTGTTTAAAAATCGGTCTTTTGAGTAAAATTTAGAAAAATTTACTAAAACAGATTATTTAAAATTCAGGCATTTTGGAGCAATTTTTATCCTTTTTATATAAAGGATAAATTTTCGACAGATTCTAAAGGTAAAATGGTAAAAGAACATAACACGGCTACCAAAGGACCATTTGAAAAGTGGAGTGAATGTATTAAAAATTGGCTAAGCTCATCCGCAATAGTTTACAATTTTGAACAGGAAACATTCAAAAAAAGACACGTAAAATTAATAAATTATAAAAAAATTAATATATTCAATAGGGTGAGAAGGTATATATCGAAATTTGAGGTTCGATTCATACTTGAAATCAAATATCCATAATTTTATAGTTCAATCGCTATTTAGCTTGCCAAAAGTCTGGAGATAGGGCCGTCGTCCTTGCCCCGCCTAGTATCAATTATTCCAATGAACATTATCAGATGGACAGATTACCAGAACTCTGTGTATAAAGCGGCGGTTGGGACCCCTGGGATCCTGTTCCGTATGACATTTTAGAAAATCCCGTAACGGAATCAGGGCTGGGCACAATTTCGTTTATTTGGTTTGGTACGAAACTCATTGATTCACCGTTATCCTTGCAAATTCTCCTTAATCCAACCCATCCGAGCCCCATAAATCCCTCGATAATTCTCCGAATCCTCTTATATCCCGCTTAATCCCCCGATATCCTTTCAAATATCCCAGATACACAGCAGACTAGCAAGGGAAATAGCGAACGAAATGTTATTTATTGGGGCAGAACGCCAACCAATTAAAAAAGAGCTAAATTTATCTCTTTTTCTCTAATTTTCTCTTATTTTTCCATACTCTTTTCGTTTAAATTTACAAATTCGGATGCAAGTTGATTCGACCAACTTTGAAATCTAATATCTCCGTTATTTTCTAACAGATTTTGATTTTGTCTTTCAATTTGTTAGAATATAATATAAAAAATCATTTGAAAAAAAAATTAGAAAAATTCAAGCATTTTTCATAAAATTTAAGCATTAACAATTTTAGGGTTTTATTCAAACAACTCTAAAAAAAGCAGGACAGGTATATTTTTCAATTAATGGCTCATTCGATTCGTCTCGACGAGCTGATTCGCTTGACACCAAAATCGACTCGATTCGAAGATTCTGAAAAAAGTTACAGGCAATTGCATTTTCGCCGGAATAACCGCTTTTGTGCTATATTGAGGTGAAGTCTGAACTAATCATGGAGATTTTGGTATCATTTGACTCATCTCGCCGAGCTCTTTCGAATGAGCTATTATTTGTATATTCTAATTTTTGACCCCAAAAGTCAGCTTGGTCCCTCTGAGGGGGTTTCAACTTTCAGGAGTCTTTAACTCGGTCCCATAAAATCGGATCAGCTTCTTCCACCCTTTTTTGAAAAAATTCCCATGCGATTTTTCCACACTCTAGTGTTCTTGCTCAGAAATTTTAGCTAAATTTAAATAAATGCTTTTTGGCGCAATTTAAGGAAAAAAAATATGGCGCCAAGAATAATTGACATTTAATCCCATTTATGTAATTGTTTCATTTTTCTATAAACATTATTTATTATGATTTCTAGTTATGATATTGGACACAACCGGCTATTAACAATCCACCCGGTTTCGGCTAATCCAATTCTAAAATACACGGTTTTAGACAAATACCCGTTTCATTTTGGAGGTTTTTTCTAAAAATTCTGGTTTTAAAACCCTGTCGTGTCCAACCTTACTAGTTATTTATATAAATTTTCTAAATTATCCAAATAACGAATCCTTTAACTTTTTAATATTTAATTTCAGTGAAATACACAAATATAAAAACTTTATATAGAAAAATCAAATGTCCAATCAAGAATTATTACAAACTGCCAATAAGAGAATTGCAAAATTGGAGAAACATATTTTGTTGAGTAGTCCAGCGGTTAGTTTTATTTAGATTTTTAGAATAGAAAGCTGAGTTTATAAATCGACTTAAGTGTGCAAAATGCTCTTCTTGAGCATTTTCGGGATCTCCATAAGTCGTAAATGAGGTGGGGACTAGTTTATTTTGAGTCGGGGGAAAAATCGAAAATGCCTAGCTTTTAGAATCGCTTGCTTAGCCATGACGAATAACTTAATCAGCGAGTTAGGATGATAATGAGCAAAGTTATGATCACTAGTCTTGACTCACTACACTCTTAGATGTGGCTCCCGTTGGGAAATTTTGAAGCTTCGTGAAACGAACAACAACCGCAGCGAGCGAGAATGCCACCCACACCGGGCATGTCCTTAGTGTTGTCTCAAGAAAATTTTGCACACTTTGATTTATAGGCTCAGCGCATTAATTCTGTTCGAAGGAACTAGAGAACGGTATTTTCAAAAATCCTGGATCTGTATCCAGAAAAAATCCAGACTGGATTCAGATCAAGACAGATCTCTTAGTCATACAGGATATTTTCTTTTTTTGTCTTAACATTGACCCGTTTTTCCGTTTCAGAAATTTGTTTGCAATGAAAACTCGTTTTTCAATGCTGAATTTAATCAAGCTCTTTATTATGCTGGTCAACCATTCAAAAAAATTACTAATAATTATTTTGGAGTTCAATATTTCGAAGTGACGTTGCAGGATATTAGCAAGTTTGTTTAAATTTATTTATCATATCTATAAGGATTATTGTGGAAAATTCCGCACTTTTTGCGGAATTGAATAGTTGATTTTTTATAAAAATTTAAACTGGATTTGTTCGCAAAAAACAATTTTGTCCACAATTTTAATTTTTTTTTCAACGGGCATACTAAACTAGCAATTTGTTTACAACATTGTTATTTATAGAGTTGGCCGGGATCGGGCGCAATTATCCTGGGTTTTTTGAATCCCGATTCTTCTGATCCTGACACCGAAAAACAAGGATCAGTATTCCAAAGTTCCCGATTTTTTGTGAAAATCCCGACCTCGGCCCACTCTAGTTATTTAAAAATTACTTTAAATATAATTTTAGGCTTAAATCTATTGGAATTATTAATGATGACTTCAATGGAGTTCATATGTTCAAATCAAACGAAAATGAAGTTAAAATTAAAAATACTGAGGAGGAAGAATTTACTTATCCTTTTGCTCCGTCCAATTTGTTTACTGCTGGTTGTGGTATGGTAACTTCTCCAACAAACGATTTATTTGATAAACCGAAGACTTTTGTTTTTTTTACCGTGAATGGACATTTTATTGGTATTTTTTAAAATCACTATTATATAAATATTGGCACTATCTGATTAGAATACTGCCATCCAATTTTTTTTCACTTTTTAGGATGGGAAAAAAAGAGTTAATTTTCCTATTTTATATTAGTATGATTTTTCCGTAAGTGTAAACTTTAGGGATTGATTGAACCAAGGCTTGGATTGAACCAAGGCTTGGACTTTAGGGATTGATTGAACCAAGGCTCTTGACCAAGGCCAGGGTTTTTTCTGTGCCAAGAGTACAATAGAAACCCAGACATTTTTTGATTTTGCTAGGACTCAAGACATCAAATAACATTAACACCTTACAGAAAACACCTTAAATTAATACCTCACGGAAAAATCAAATACCAGTGAAAAAATTGAGCATTCCAATTAAATCCGAGGATTTAAGAATAAAATGGATGCCGGTCCTTACAGATAATAGCTAAATGTTTTTTAGGAAGAGCAATTTGTTTCGAAGAGGATGTTGAAGAATTAACTCCAACATTTACGTTGTCTGAGGGGAATGCTGACGTTAAAACTAATTTTGAGGAGAAGGCGTTTGTTTACAAATTGGATACCAATTTTGTTGAAACTCTTTTAAATTTTGAATGAGATTTGGCTAATTAATGAATCAAATCGATTTGGTTCTTGAATTAAATTTGAATTTTGTTGCTCTAAAAGCTATTTAATTTTATATTTAAACACAAGTTAATTTTAATTGATTCTGAAAAAATAAAACTGTTTTTTGTGTAATTTTTCTAATGATTAGCTAGATTTTATAGGATAAGAATCTTTTTTTTCCAGTTAAGTCCAATTATCCTCATGTTAATAATTTTGAGACTATTTACGAGTACCAATTTTTTTTTAAATATTTTTTCAAGAAATATTTTTGGAAATTTTTTTTAACATTAAAAACATTATTTTAAAATTTTTTAAGAATAAAGCCGGTGGGCAATAATTAAGTTTGTGTTTCCCCTTTTTTTACTTTCAGCTGTAGTGTAGTGTACCGAGGTAAAAGTTCGGGACGTGACACATGTCATTAGATTGGTCTCGACGAGCTGAGTCGAACGGTACTGCTCACAATTTGGGAAATTATTCTGGACCGAGTTATAGGTCCCGAAATATTGAAAAACCATGAGGGAGTAAGGTCGATTTTGGTATAATATAACTGGATCCAGAATCATTTTCTGAAATTGGGATTGGTACCGTTCGACTCAGCTCATCGAGACGAATCGAATGACATGCCACGTCCCAAACTTTTACCTCGGTACACTACATTACAGCCAAAAGAAAAAAGGGGAAACACAAACTTAACTATTACAGCCGGTGTTTAACTAGAAATTTAGAAATAACTTAAAATATACAGCCATATAAATAATAAATCTGCCAAGAGATTATAGATTGACTTTAATAAAAATACGAAAATATTTTTTAAACAAATTTTAAGAATAATGTCTGAATTAGAAATTATCGTATTTTCCTAATAGTGCGACTCTTCCTACTAGACCGACCCCTTCTAATAAACCGACCCCCTAGAGGGAGTATACGGTATTTTTGTTTATTTTCTAATTCCAATTTAAGTTGAATTTTTGGTCAATAGTTAGCTAATAATGTAAAATTTCTCTTTTTTCGGATAAAAAATATTTTTGTTTAATTTTAATTGCAAATTCTTCAAAGTGATTAATTGAAGTAATAAAAGTTAATGAAGGCATTTTAATGCCGACTATCCAGATTGTACCTGTAATGAATGTCTTAAATAGGGAATATTGTTTAGGCAACTCTACCCATCAAATTAAAAAACGCACAGATCGAGAGTTTTCAATAGGAATGCGTACTATGTTGATAACCGATATTTTTGTTCTGCACCGGTAACATAAACCTTTTCTTCCAATTTTCAGCCTTGAACATAAAAACGTTTTTCTAGCGAAAAAGAAGTTTCTTCAAAAACTTTTTTAATTGCCCAGTTTTTTTAATTCCATTTCGACCCCAAATATTGTCTCCTAAATAATCGCAACCCTCGGGTCCTCGAAAGTCTGATCCCAAATGTCGCGCCACGGATCATGCTAGGGGTATAAAAAATTAGTGGCTTTATTATTATTTTACAAGCAAAAATACAAAAAAAATTAAATAAAAAATTCAAATCTTTTGTGTGATAATGGGTAAATTAACACCCCTTTTTATTTTTAAATTTTTTTTTTGTAAATTGGGAGAAAGAAATATCTAATTTACATATGTATTTTGATCATTTTTTTACTACTACTTTAAACATATTTTTTTATTGAAAAGGAAGATGTTTAGCTGGTAATTTTTTTCATTTATTTAAGAATGGTTGTATTCAGATAGCTATTTTATAGTTCAACTTTTTATTTTTATTCAATCAATTTTTAGATTTTTTAATTTTACAATTTGGTGAATTTTTTAGAAATTAGATGGAGTCAAACACACTTAAGCGAATCCTTAAAGTGAGTTTACGAAATATGCAGTTCACTCTCGTTATAATTCCATCCCGAGTAGGGGAGGCGGATCTCGATATCCTAATCACGAAAAACGTTCGGATATCGAAAATTCTAGGTTCGGACTGATCTCAGGTGATAGGTCAATGAGAGAGACGAGAGATGAACAAATTCGTTTCATGAAGGTTCGTTTCATGAAGGTTACATAGGTTTATTTTTTGTTCATTTTTATCCATCTTTGGATGGGATTTTAGTCGTAAAAGGAAAATATATCGATGATATGTAACGAGAGTCAACTTTGCTAAAAGTCTAATACCAACCTTTATCATTTAATAACTTTTTAGGACCTTTCGGACATTGAAAGTGATCCTCCAGATTTTTGTAGTGCACGCCCAATTAATGATGAAGATCCTTATCATTGGCGAGGAACTATAATTGGACCTCCAGGTTCTCCTTATGAAGGAGGAATTTTCTTTTTATTCATCACATTTCCAAATAACTACCCGTTTAGACCACCATCAGTTTCATTTAAAACACGGATATATCATCCAAACATTAACAGTCGAGGAAGCATATGCTTGGATATACTCAGAGAACAATGGTCGCCGGCTTTGAGTATCTCGAAAGGTCCTTTATTTTTTTATAATTAAAATAAAACTGTGTTGTAAGAGTAATTGGGATCAAATCTTTTAATCTAATTCAGATTACCGAATTACACCGGTATTTCAGTAATTATTGGGAAAACCTGAGGGCTTTAATTAAATAATATAACTATCTCCAATAATTATTAAATCCTAAAATTTTGTAGGTTTTAACAGTTCATATAAGAAGTAACGATATCGCAGTGACGATTTTAAGACGAGGAGCTAGGTGACATTCATCCTTTAATCTTTGGCTTAGTCTTATATTTTTATTTAGAAGTTACTTTCTTAACTTTACTCCTCAACCTTCTCGAAACTTCAATTTGACATTAAATTTCATAATATTATTTTTAGTTCTCCTATCTATCTGCTCGTTTTTATGCGATCCAAATCCTGACAGTCCACTTGTGCCTAGCATTGCTGAACTTTATATGAATGACAGAGAACAGTATAATACTAATGTTCGCATATGGACAGAAATGTATGCTATGTGAAAATTTAATAATTTATTTATTCCAATGAGATGAAGATTTAAAATGAAATAATTTTATAGTAAATTTTCAACGAGATTTTTAAACTAAATTAAATTTTACAAAAAATTTATATCATGTTAATTGATTTTGGTTTTTGTTCAGACAATCTACCCCTACGGGTCAATTATATGTACCAGTTCTGCAATTTAATACCATAAAATTTATGGAAATAAAAAATTATTCGCACAGAGTTATGTTACACTTTCACAATACCGGACCATAGGTTCTAACACGAAAAAACGAGTTATTATCGTTGTAGATTGGACGTAGGAGAATGTGATTGGACGCAAAAAATGTTTGGACGTTTAAACATTTTATTGGACGCGTATTACGGACATGAGTTTTAAATTTCGACATATGCATAAATATTCTAAGAATTCCATATTTTCTAAAAATAAAGCTCCAACTTTAAATATTTTCAGCCCCACCTTCCCTTAAACAACCAAGTTAAGTATTTTTGCAAAAAAAAACTTTCGTCTTCAAGGTGTAAAATCAGGTTCTTAGCCTATTCTCAGATTGTGTGCGTATTTTGTACATTTTTTTAAATTTAGTTAGGAAAAAATTAAATCCCTTATACATATACATATTTACAAATAATCTTTTTAAAATCCGTTTCGCTTTTAATCTTTTTCTTTTTAAAATCCATCTTTTTAAAATCCGTTTCGCTTTTTAAAATCCGTTTCGGCACACCCCTGCCCCACACCCACCCACACCAGGCATGGCCGTAGTGTTGTCTCAGGAAAATTTTGCACACATTATTGAAATTTATAAACTCAGCGCATTAATTCTGTTCGTAGGAAGATATCAGATGTCCAGTTATTAAAAAATTCTTATAGTCTCACCGAACATTTTCTTTTGGTTTTTTTGCCAAAATAAAAAAAAATTTCCCATCCTTACAGTCCCATTTAACCATAAAACAACTTATTAGATATCTAGTAATGAAAAATAATTTTTCTTAACATTGACCCGTTTTTCCGTTTCAGAAATTTGTTTGCAATGAAAACTCGTTTTTTAATGCTGAATTTAATCAAGCTCTTTATTATGCTGGTCAACCATTCAAAAAAATTACTAATAATTATTTTGGAGTTCTATATTTCGAAGTGACGTTGCAGGATATTAGCAAGTTTGTTTAAATTTATTTATTATATCTATAAGGATTCTTGTGGAAAATTCCGCACTTTTTGCGGAATTGGATAGTTGATTTTTTTATAAAAATTTAAACAGGATTTGTCCGCAAAAACAATTTTGTCCGCAATTTTAATTTTTTTTTCAACGGGTCTACCAAACTAGGAATTTGTTTTCAACCTCGTTATTTATAGAGTTGGCTGGGATCGGGATCCCGGGCGGGATTATACCGGGTTTTTTGAATCCCGATTTTTCTGTTTCCGAGACCGAAAAACAAATCCCGGTTTCGGCCGATCCCGTGTCGGATCAGTATTCCAAAATTCCGATTTTTTGTGAAAATCCCGATCATGGCCAACTCATGTTATGTATTTAAAAATTAATTTAAATATAATTTTAGGCTTGAATCTATTGGACTTATTAAATATGACTTCATGGAGATTCAAATGTTCAAATCAAACGAAAATGAAGTTAAAATTAAATACATCAAAAATACTGGGGAGGAAGAATTTACTTATCCTTTTGCTCCGTCCAATTTGTTTACTGCTGGTTGTGGTATGGTAACTTCTCCAACAAACGATTTATTTGACAAACCGAAGACTTTTGTTTTTTTTACCGTGAATGGACATTTTATTGGTATTTTTTAAAATCACTATTATATAAATATTGGCACTATCTGGAAAGAATACTGTCATCCAATTTTTTTCACTTTTTAGGATGGGAAAAAAAGAGTTAATTTTCCTATTTTATTTTAGTATGATTTTTCCGTAAGGGTGAACTTTAGGGACTGGTGAGGCCTAAGGAGCGATACGAAGGTATTAGAGATCAGCCTGGGTCTGTCCCAAGGCTTGGATTTTTCTGTATCAGGAGTACAGAAGACCTAGCATTTTTTGATTTTGCTGGGACTCTCAAGACATCAAATAACATTAACACCTTACAGAAAACACCTTAAATTAACACCTTACGGAAAAATCAAATACCAGTGAAAAATTGACATTCCAAGTAAATCCGAAGATTTAAGAATAAAATGGATGCCGGTCCATGCATATAATATCTTAATGATTTTTAGGAAGAGCAATTAGTTTCGAAGAGGAAAGTGAAGAATTAACTCCAACATTTACGTTGTCTGAGGGGAATGCTGACGTTAAAACTAATTTTGGGGAGAAGGCGTTTGTTTACAAATTGGATACCAATTTTGTTGAAACTCTTTTAAATTTTGAATGAGATTTGGCTAATAATGAATCAAATCGATTTGGTTCTTGAATTAAATTTGAATTTTTGTTGCTCTAAAAGCTATTTAATTTTATATTTAAACACAAATTAATTTTAATTGATTCTGAAAAAATAAAACTTCTTTGTGTAATTTTTCTAATGATTAGCTAGATTTTATAGGATAAGAATCTTTTTTTTCCAGTTAAGTCCAATTATCCTCATGTTAATAATTTTGAGACTATTTACGAGTACCAATTTTTTTTTAAATATTTTTTCAAGAAATATTTTTGGAAATTTTTTTTAACATTAAAAACATTATTTTAAAATTTTTTAAGAATAAAGCCGGTGGGCAATAATTAAGTTTGTGTTTCCCCTTTTTTTACTTTCAGCTGTAGTGTAGTGTACCGAGGTAAAAGTTCGGGACGTGACACATGTCATTAGATTGGTCTCGACGAGCTGAGTCGAACGGTACTGCTCACAATTTGGGAAATTATTCTGGACCGAGTTATAGGTCCCGAAATATTGAAAAACCATGAGGGAGTAAGGTCGATTTTGGTATAATATAACTGGGTCCAGAATCATTTTCTGAAATTGGGATTGGTACCGTTCGACTCAGCTCATCGAGACGAATCGAATGACATGCCACGTCCCAAACTTTTACCTCGGTACACTACATTACAGCCAAAAGAAAAAAGGGGAAACACAAACTTAACTATTACCAGCCGGTGTTTAACTAGAAATTTAGAAATAACTTAAAATATACAGCCATATAAATAATAAATCTGCCAAGAGATTATAGATTGACTTTAATAAAAATACGAAAATATTTTTTAAACAAATTTTAAGAATAATGTCTGAAATTAGAAATTATCGTATTTTTCTTAATAGTGCGACTCTTCCTACTAGACCGACCCCTTCTAATAAACCGACCCATATTTTTGTTTATTTTCTAATTCCAATTTAAGTTGAATTTTTGGCTAATAATGTAAAATTTCTCTTCGGACAAAAAAATATTTTTGTTTAATTCTGATTGTAAATTCTTCAAAGTTATTAGAAGACGCAATAAAGGTTAAAATTAATGAAGGCATTTTAATGCCGACTATCCAGATTGTACCTATAATGAATGTCTTAAATAGGGAATATTGTTTAGGCAACTCTACCCATCAAATTAAAAAACGCACAGATCGAAGTTTTTAATAGGAATGCGTACTATGTAGATAACCGATATTTTTGTTCGGCTACCCTACAACTCATCGAATCCTTAACTCATCGAATCCTCAACTCATCGAATCGGCCAAAAACACTCAACTCATCGAATCCTTAACTCATCGAATCCTCAACTCATCGAATCGGCCAAAAACACTCAACTCATCGAATCCTTAACTCATCGAATCCTCAACTCATCGAATCGGCCAAAAACGATCAACTCATCGAATTTTTCCAAAAGGAAACGTTTGAGTCCCCGTGTTTATTTTTTAGATTTTTTATTGTTTTGTTTATTTTTTTTAATTTTCTTCTGGGGTTTCAACTAATTTTGTTAATTAGTTGATCGGGCACTCATCCAAGTTTATCCGGCCAGTGAAAACATTATCAGAACATTATCTCATTCCTGAAAACATTATCTCATTCCTAATAAATTATGCTGGAGATTTTACCGGGTAAAACCGGACCAAATTAGTCCAGTAGACCCCGATTATGCCCAAAAGCCCTTTTTCCTAGCCTCCATAGCAGCAAAAAATTTTTTCAACAAAGATTCAGTTAGCCCTTTCGGGAGAAAAATAAAAACAGGGGACTCAAACGTCCCCTTTTGGAAAAATTCGATGAGTTGATCGTTTTTGGCCGATTCGATGAGTTAAGGAATTTTAGCCGATTCGATGAGTTGAGCGTTTTTGGTCGATTCGATGAGTTAAGGATTCGATGAGTTGAGCGGGCACGTTTTGTTCTGCACCGGTAACATAAACCTATTCTTACCAATTTTCAGCCTTGAACATAAAAACGTTTTTCTAGTATCGCTCTAGGGGTATAAAAAATTAGTGGTTTTATAATTACTTTACAAAAAAAAATTAAATAAAAAATTCAAATCTTTTGTGTGATAATGGGTAAATTAACACCCCTTTTTATTTTTAAATTTTTCTTTGTAAATTGGGAGAAAAATTGGACTCTCAAAATTGGACTCTGTAAAATTGGACTCTGTAAATTGGACTCTCAAGACATTAAATAGCATTAACACCTTACAGAAAACACCTTAAATTAATACCTCACGGAAAAATCAAATACCAGTGAAAAATTGAGCATTCCAAGTAAATCCGAGGATTTAAGAATAAAATGGATGCCGGTCCTTACAGATAATAGCTAAATGTTTTTTAGGAAGAGCAATTAGTTTCGAAGAGGAAAGTGAAGAATTAACTCCAACATTTACATTGTCTGAGGGGAATGCTGACGTTAAAACTAATTTTGAGGAGAAGGCGTTTGTTTACAAATTGGACGCCAATTTTGTTGGAACTCTTTTAAATGCTGAGTGAAATTTGGCTAATTAATGAATCAAATCGATTTGGTTCTTGAATTAAATTTGAATTTTGTTGCTCTAAAAGCTATTTAATTTTATATTTAAACACAAGTTAATTTTAATTGATTCTGAAAAAATAAAACTGTTTTTTGTGTAATTTTTCTAATGATTAGCTAGATTTTATAGGATAAGAATCTTTTTTTTCCAGTTAAGTCCAATTATCCTCATGTTAATAATTTTGAGACTATTTACGAGTACCAATTTTTTTTTAAATATTTTTTCAAGAAATATTTTTGGAAATTTTTTTTAACATTAAAAACATTATTTTAAAATTTTTTAAGAATAAAGCCGGTGGGCAATAATTAAGTTTGTGTTTCCCCTTTTTTTACTTTCAGCTGTAGTGTAGTGTACCGAGGTAAAAGTTCGGGACGTGACACATGTCATTAGATTGGTCTCGACGAGCTGAGTCGAACGGTACTGCTCACAATTTGGGAAATTATTCTGGACCGAGTTATAGGTCCCGAAATATTGAAAAACCATGAGGGAGTAAGGTCGATTTTGGTATAATATAACTGGGTCCAGAATCATTTTCTGAAATTGGGATTGGTACCGTTCGACTCAGCTCATCGAGACGAATCGAATGACATGCCACGTCCCAAACTTTTACCTCGGTACACTACATTACAGCCAAAAGAAAAAAGGGGAAACACAAACTTAACTATTACCAGCCGGTGTTTAACTAGAAATTTAGAAATAACTTAAAATATACAGCCATATAAATAATAAATCTGCCAAGAGATTATAGATTGACTTTAATAAAAATACGAAAATATTTTTTAAACAAATTTTAAGAATAATGTCTGAAATTAGAAATTATCGTATTTTTCTTAATAGTGCGACTCTTCCTACTAGACCGACCCCTTCTAATAAACCGACCCATATTTTTGTTTATTTTCTAATTCCAATTTAAGTTGAATTTTTGGTCAATAGTTAGCTAATAATGTAAAATTTCTCTTTTTTCGGATAAAAAATATTTTTGTTTAATTCTGATTGCAAATTCTTCAAAGTGATTAGAAGACGAAATAAAGGTTAAAAATTAATGAATGCATTTTATGCCGACTATCCAGATTGTACCCATAATGAATGTCTTAAATAGGGAATAATGTTTAGGCAGCTCTACCCGTCAAATTAAAAAATCGTATAGATCGAGAGTTTTCAATAGGAATGCGTACTATGTAGATAACCGAGATTTTTGTTCTGCACCGGTAACATAAACGTTTTCTTACCAATTTTCAGCCTTGAACATAAAAACGTTTTTCTAGTGAAAAAGAAGTTTTTTCAAAAACTTTTTTAATTGCCCAGTTTTTTTAATTCCATTTCGACCCCAAATATTGTCTCCTCAATAATCGCAACCCTCGGGTCCTCGAAAGTCTGATCCCCAAATGTCGCGCCACGGATCATGCTAGGGGTATAAAAAAATTAGTGGTTTTATTATTATTTTACAAGCAAAAATACAAAAAAAATTAAATAAAAAATTCAAATCTTTTGTGTGATAATGGGTAGATTAACACCCCTTTTTATTTTTAAATTTTTTTTTTGTAAATTGGGAGAAAGAAATATCTAATTTACATATTTTGATCATTTTTCTACTACCCCTTTAAACATATTTTTTTATTGAAAAGGGAGATGTTTAGCTGGTAATTTGTTTTCATTCATTTAAGAATGGTTTATTCAGATAGCTATTTTATTGTTTAACCTTTTATTTTTATTCAATCAATTTTTAGATTTTTTAATTTTGCAATTTGGTGATTTTTTAAAAATTAAATGGAGTCAAATACACTTAGACGAATCCTTAAAGTTAGTTTATGAAATATGCAGTTGACTCTTGTTATAATTCTTTCTCAAGTGGCGGAGGCGGCGGATCTCGAT